TCATATGACAATATATCTATAAAATCTAGTACGGCGAGAAGGGAAGTGTGTTTCAAAGAAAAGGGATGTTTAGCCGGGAAGTTAGCGTCTAACGAAAATCTTATTTTTTATTATTAATAAAGCATAGCTAATAAGACTATAATAGTTGAGATAGAACCAATTGAACACATTGTGTTAATATAGGAAATATAATCAGGATAATCTGGTATTCTCCGAGGCATAACATTGAAACCAAGAATATGCATAGGTATGAAAATTAACATAATGCTATTTAAGAAGATTAATAACCATAGACCTAATATAGGAGTAGTAGCTGTGGTGAAATGGAATAAGTGTTTAGTATCTCCGAACATATCTTTAGCATAAAATATAAAACCACAAATAGTAGATATAACTGCTCCTAAAGACAACACAAAATGGAAATGTGCTACAATATAATATGTATCATGTAATGCAATATCCATAGCTGCATTACCCATAACTACACCTGTAGTACCTCCCAAACAGAATAGGATAATAAAACTAAGTGCTGCCCAAAAATCAATATTCCTAGTAGTATAATCGCTAGCCATATAAGTACCTAACCAGTTGAAAATTTTAGTACCGGTAGGAATGGCAATCATAATTGTCATCGCAGAGAAATAAGCACGAGTATCTACTTCTAATCCTACTGTCATCATATGATGAGCCCAAACCAATGAACCTAAAATAGAAATACAACCCATAGCTATAATCATAGCTTGACCACCAAAGACTATTCTGATAGTATATGATGACAGAGTCTGTGATATAACACCAAAACCAGGTAGAATTAGAATATAAACCTCTGGATGTCCAAAGAACCAGAATAGATGTTGAAATAAGACACTATCACCTGAATACATAGAATCATAGAATTCTGTATTGATATGTAGATCTAATAATAACATAACTAAAGCTCCAGTTAAAATAGGAAGTGTGATAATTAACATAATAGCAGTACATAAAATAGACCAAATATATAAAATCGATAACCTGGAACCACTAGAATATCCTAAAAATAAACATGTACCAATAAAATTAATAGAGCTTATTAAACTACTAATACCTAAAATACCTAATCCAACAATGATCCAATCTGTGGATTCCGTATTCAATGTCATCAGACTAGTACTTAAAGGTGGATACATTGTCCAACCCATACCACTACCGTACTCAGATGTTATACTATGAATGACTATGACAGAACCTAAAGGTAATAGTAAATAAGATACCGCATTAATTCGTGGAAATACAACTTCTGAAGCTCCAATGTATATAGGTAGAAAGAAGTTACCATATCCCCCGTATAGAGCAGGCATTAAGAACATAAAGATCATAGCTAGGCCATGTATCGTGATAATAACGTTATATGTAGATATCGTTTCTGCACAAATAATTCGAGAACCACTATTGTAAAGTTCGATGCGGATCATACTAGACATTATAGTACCCAATACACTGAATAGAGCTCCAGTAACCAGATACATAGATCCTATTTCTTTATGATTATTATATGCTAGGGGATATCTATAACTAGATTTAATCAAATAACGGTACAAAGCTGAAAACAAAGGACTCCTTAAATTAAACTGAGGAGTCAAGTAGGTACGAAC